GGCAGCGAGAGCTTGAATCTTAGAAAGACTCCAACACCGCACAGAAAAAACCCATACGTTCTCATATAAAAAGTCACTTTATTTCGTATTTTCTCCGGAGCTTCTAGTGAGACTTTCCCATTCATGAAGGGAAGAAAATACAAACCAGGCAAGCTCACAAATGAGCATCGAAACGCGCCCTTTCCAGTCTGGCTGCGACCTGTCCTCACAAACTTTACTATGGCCCTAGAATTTCATCTTTGCAACGAGAGAAACCAAGGGTAGTGTTTAGAGAGCGCTGCCATAGAGAACAAAATACGAAGAGGACAAAATCTCCACAGCTATAAAATAAATAAAAAGCATCTGTAAAATATCCTTCCATGTACAAAATAACCTTTCTTTTTTGGGCATGAGCATGAGCTACTGCAAAACTAGATGGGAACAAGAACTTTCTATTGATTACCAGCATTTAAAAAAAATCCAGGACAGGTGGGAAAAGCCCTCCCTCCTGATTGCAGATAAGAAGAAATATTAGTACCATGAACTGGAAATTACTTAGAGGTCCCTAGTAATAACCAGTTACATAGAGAAATCCCTTGTCTCTGTGATGAATACGTTACCAATACTAGACATAATTTTATCTATTTACAGATACAAGTGCAAAACAAGTAGCAGGCATAAAATGCGATGCACGCTTCTATACCTTTAACTGAAGAAAGCGCTCTTTGAATAGAGTCGGAAGGGACAGATCACACTGCGCTTGGAACGCTCAATTCTACACAACAAAGTCTGGCTGTATCCCAGGGAAAACGAAGCGTAACACCTTCAAGATTTTGGCTGTCAACAACCTGGTTGCTCAGCCAGCAGAAAACCACAGACCTCTAGGATTGTCAAGTCCAACTGTCAACCCAGCAGCACCGTGACTACTAAACCAGGGACCAAACCAGTCTTTCAGAGAGTCAGTTATGGCGGTAATTTAGGGAAAAGTTTTTTTGACGTTTACTCTTAGCACAAACTAAAATGTTGCTGCCACCAGCAAAAAGTGCTTTAGAAAACGTTATCCTCTAGAGATTGTGCTGCTGGAAATGGAATCAGGGTTCCACCTAAGTACTTCTGGGAGGATTTACAGCTGTGCCTGAGACTCATTAGATGTTTTCCTTCCTGCTTGTAGTTTTTCAAATGTATTTTTAAAAGAAATCTTAAATTGACAGCAAAGGTTAACACATTTAATTTTCAGAGTCTAAGTGAACCGAGATAAGAAAATAATCAAAATCTACTACTGTCTGACTAATGTACTCAAAAAAGTCACCAACCAGAAGCAGTTTTGATGAAATAATTGTAGCGAAGGCATACAGGAAAGAATTACGCACCACATAATTTCCTGTCAGCAATCAACCACTGTCCCTTACTCGTAGACTACTTGCAGCTATGTTCTAGGAATCGTGTTGTGAACCAGTCACTGGGCCGCTTCACCACGCATGATATTCGGCTGGCCAAGTTTTTACAGCAGCACTAAAGAAAAGCCTTAGCTTTTCAGACACCGCTGTTAGGCATGTTGCGTTCTGGATTTTTCTGACTGAGGGCATCAGCATCTAACAGGCTGAATTACAAAAACACGTCAGTGAAAACCAATATCCACGTACAATCAGTGACATCTCACACCAAGGAGATAGACGTCTAAGCTAAGTTTTCTAAGGCTGTGACAATGCCTGGCTTCTTTTTATTCCTTAGTGCGCTACTCAATAACGTCAGGCAGAAAGTTTAACTTGAAACAGAGAATAGTGATTTCTCATGTCCCTCCCCAAGAGTCACCGTAAGAACACGAGACAGCCAGCAGTGCTTTCACCATCTTGTGCAAGAATACATCAGCACATCCCTCTGTCAGTCACCTCTCATTTTGAGCCACTCCCCATCGCCGAGACTCGTGTCTCGGCCAAATTCAGAGATAAATAAAGTTCCCGTTCTCTTTACTTGGAATTGCTATTTGGAGTCCATTCCATTTCCATCCTCTTTCTTTGGATTCGTTTACATTTGTTTCTATTTTGTCCAAAGGAAATGCACTAGTAGTGCAAACAAAAAGCAGATATCATGAAATGCACACACCCACCCCCAAATAGCAAGTGATCACCTCATAATTTCAGAAGGGTCTCCAGAGATGTTATCTGCAAGCACAGGATTCCACTGTCATGTTTGGGTATACCTTAAGAACCACGTTTTTGTTTTCATCAAAGAATAAGATACTGAGAGACGACATTTTGTCAGGAACGCAGCAAGGCTCCGGAATGCCCGGGATGATGCCGACGGCTCGCACTATGCTCTGTATGGTGGCATGGTTGGACGGCTTCAAGGACTGCACAAGAAAAAAAAAACAAAACAAAACAAAAACAGAAAAAAATGTCAATGCAGACTTGGCTTATACATAAAATCACTTGACACAATTGCTTCTGTTTAGCTCAGACGAGGGCAGGGACACAGAATTTTCTCAGATACAAAAGGGTCCTGTACCCTGAGTAAACACAGACACTATGCCAAGCCTGATCTTCTTCCCTGTTACCCTTTACTGTCGTTATTTATAACTCAAATGAGAGGCGGGGGGGGGTGGTGATATTCTGGTTAAAATAACAAGCATGAAGCTTGCTGCACCATCCTCTTAATGGCTGCAGGTTACCCAGAGTGGTTACAGAGACACTACTCTCCATCTATGTAGCTGATCTCGGGGTAGAGATCTCCGCTTGTTTGTCTTGAATTCAGGAGTAGCTACACTGCTCAGCAGTCGCTAACGGGATTTACAGAATGTCTGAGTACACAACTCAGATTTGCATATCTGACTGCAACAGGAAATGGAAGCTCCAGTAGCATCCAGGCTCGTTTCCCCACTCAGCTGCAGTGCAGACTTTGCCACAAAAATAACTCGGAGCCGAGCAGATCTCCTGAGCCTGCTGATCAGGTGTCCAAAGGTAAAACACGCTGCTTGCGTCTTTGGGGACTCGCTGCCCTGCTGAATTTCATGCAGCGTGTCCCAAGCTCATGTTCCTGACCTGGGAGAGGTTCCACCTGGCCTGGCGGCGCTGCAGCATTACAGAAACCCGAGGCATGGGGCTCTGAGAGCAATCAAACAAGCTCACTGAAATCAGGGAAAGGGAAATTCCGAGGTGGGAAGATAAGAAGTAGTGGAGGAAGAAGCATCTCTAGTTTGTATTACCCAACAAGTTGTCAACATGAGGAGCCCGCCCTCAGCAAGGGAACATTATTTACCTGTGGGAAAGGGTCAGTTCGGCGTTGCCTGATGGGGTATAGTATCGATTTGCAAAACCAGTCTTATCAGTTCCACCAGGTACTACATAGGGCTCAAGAATAACACATGGCTCTACAAGACGCTCATTTTACCTTTATACAGAATTTAGCTTTTCATTCTCTTAAGAAAACAAGATCATTCAATTTTTTTGCAATTAAAAGCATCCTAAAAAAACTATTTGAATTTCAACATGAACAGAAACCTAACAAGTGGTTTCAGGGAACACAACGGGTTTCAACACTTCTGGACTTGCGAACGGCGAGACGCCTTCAAGCCCTTCTAAGAAGCTGCTAGACATAATTCTTTTTTGCCTGTCATCAGAAATAAAGAGCGGAATCACCAGCAGTGCGATGCATACTTGACTCTTTGCTCTGTTCCTTTTGTAATGCTGACGGTAGCCCAGAGCAGTTGTCTCTTTTTAAGTGGAGAATATTTTAGGGGCCAGGATCAACTGGAGCCCATTTTTTACTTTTTCCTTCCTCCATCGAACCTAAGTCATGCCCCAGGAGGCACACATTTTCACTAGAGCGAGCTATATAATGATTGACCCCAGCGGGGGTGTGGCAGCAGACAACCCTTTGAGGCACACGGATTGCTGTCGAGTGAGCAGTTTTTTGGATCTGGCTTGTATTATGTATAGTCAATAGGTTAATAACAAGTTCACACATCATAAGCACTATTCAGACAACGTTTAACAGCAACTTGGGTTCTGAAACAAAAAATAATACCATGTAATATTTTTTTAATTACCTTTACAAGCCTGAATTTTTTACTAGCTGTTCTAACCACTACTCCTTCGAGCCCAAGACAGAAAGGTCTCACTTATTTACTAGATCTGAACGTCTAAGTGGGTGACCAGCTGCATTTAACCGATGCAAGGCAGAGTATCGGACAGTGCAAAGGAATCAATCAAGAGCATACCTTTGGAATTGGGAACTGGCATTCGCCTGAGCAGTAATAGGCATCGAAGGATTTAGGTGAAATAATCCACTCGCTCCAGCCAATATCTGCAAAATCCACCTTGAGATAGCGCCGGGCACAATACCTTGGCTCATTCCACTGCTTCCTCCTCGCCTTCTTCAGCGTTTGCTCATCAAACCGGAGAGTCTGGCTCTTCTGGTGATGATTCTTCCTCTGCTTTTTCTTACTCTTTGCCCTCTCTGCTAGTTGTGGCTGGAAGGTTTTGTAGGGCTTTCTGTCTTCCCATCTCTCATCCTCATTGTACTGGTACTCCGCTCCTGGGAGCTCATTATTCTGCAACGGCAACAGGGCGTTCGCGGAGCGTTTTCGACGCCGCTTCCCGAGGCTGCTCCTCCCGTGGTCTTCTGGCCTGGGCAAGACCCTGGCCAGAGGATGACGGTGCCCTTGCAAACTAGAGACAACACTGTCTGGCTCTGAAATAGCCGAATCGTTGGCATAAATCAGAATGTAGGGCTCATAGCGAGAAGGTGCCCTTTTCCAGGGCTGATGGCTGGTCAGATCCATTTTGACACCGATCAGCAGTTCATTGCCTTTTTTTGCTGCATGGAGGAGCTGAGTGATATCCTTCCACTGCCAGGACCGGATGTCCTGGTAAGCAGTGGAGACATTTATGAGGAAACGTCCCAGGCTCCGAGTCCGGTTCCCCACAGAAGGAAAGGTCCAAACTGAAAGATGAATCTGAATTTCAGATTTCCTGCGCCCATGGCGAGAACAGTTTCTGGACTGTGAACAGTTCCCCTGAGCTTGCAGCAGATCACCAATATAATAATACACCGAAGCCAACAAGACGTTTTCAGACTCGGTAAGCGATGTCAAGTTAAACACATACATCTCCAGGCTTTCAGGGCTCCCTAGGAAAAGAAATACTTAATTAGAGTACAGGCATTTCCAAATATGGCAGAGAAAGGACCCAGCGTGATGCTTTCCAAATTATACTTTAAGTTCTCAGGAAATTTTATTGCAGTGCTGTAGGAAGGGGTTTAGGCCACTATTCTCAAGAATTACGAAGCTGGTCAATGGGTGACAGTAAATCACATGCTTTCAATCACATTTCATTCCAAAACCTATCTCCATCCAGAAATACACATTTCCTACTGCTCCGACTTCAGGAAACAAACTAGGTCACAGGAACACAGCTCAGTAACAGATGCACCCAAGACTTCACCTATCATCCAGAATTCTGAGTGATGCCATAGTAAGGTTTTGCTCTTCTGCTCTCCTCTTTCTGTAACATTTCCAACATACTCTCTCGCAAACGCACTCAAGTGACAACATCTACCCTGTCCTGACTACAGAAGCGTCTTCCTTTGTTTGAGACAATTGGGACATAAACGAGACACTGGTGGCACCGAACCGTGCCTTCACCCAGACCTACCTGATGCTGGAGAAAGGCTCCCACTGCCTTCACTAGGCACGGGCTCCTCTGTAAACCTCCATTATCCTCTTGAGCCACAAGCTCACAGAATCACAGAATGTCACGGGTTGGAAGGGACCTCAAAAGATCATCTAGTCCAGCCCCCCTGCCAGAGCAGGATCACCTACAGTAGATCACACAGGAACGCGTCCAGGTGGGTTTTGAATGTCTCCAGAGAAGGAGACTCCACAACCTCCCTGGGCAGCCTGTTCCAGTGCTCTGTCACCCTCATCGTGAAAAAGTTTTTTCTAGTATTTTTGTGGAACCTCCTATGTTCCAGCTTGTAACCACTGCCCCTTGTCCTGGCACGGGATGTCGCTGAGAAGAGCCTGGCTCTGTCCTCCTGACACTCCCCCTTTCCATATTTATAAACATTTATGAGGTCACCCCTTAGCCTCCTCTTCTCCAAGCTAAAGAGACTCAGGTCCTTCAGCCTTTCCCGGAGTTCCCTATCTCTCTGGAGCTGAGGGGCCCAGAACTGGACACAAGATTCCAGATGTGGCCTCACCAGGGCAGAGCAGAGGGGCAGAAGAACCTCTCTCGACCTCCTAGCTCCTCCCCTTCTAACCCACTCCAGGAAGCCCTTGGCCTTCTTGGCCACGAGAGCACACTGCTGGCTCATGGCCATCCTGCTGCCCACCAGAACCCTAAGCTATGAAGGCTGTTTCCTTTCGAGATTAACCATTCCTCCCTTACAACAAGACTAATGTATTGGCCACTCAAGTGGCCGGTGACATCTGCGTGCTCAGCTGAGTCTTTCTGACAGCAAGGTTAGAGCTGGGCACAAAAAAAGTTACTGACAACATCCTTGCACGTGGCGAAGTAACATGGCTCACCTCGGAAGATGTGGAGAGAAAAAACACCAGGATAGAATCACTGCTTAACCACTATTAGGGCTTAGATATCAGCTCTGGAGAAAGAGATGAATCACCATTTATTTAGAAAGAGCTACAGGTACGCAAGCTGGTCTGAAAGCCTAAGTCAGCTAGGCCAGATGCTAACTGCAGCCCAACTATCACTCTAGAATAGTCAGGGCCAGGACTGCTTCAATTACACAGGGTAAATACAGTCATTCCAGCCTGGACATTTCGTTGATTTTCATGCCAGTCAGAGTCAGAGAGCATTTGCTAGTGCTGCTGAAGATAAACGGAGAGTACTAGAGCAAGTCTGATAACCCAAAGAAAGCCAACCCAACACCTTGGGGTTTGTGGGGTTGATGGGGGGTGACAAATCGCACTCACTTGCCTCTGTGCAAGGAGAAGGAGCCAAGGACAACCCTTCCTCATGGCGGGGATGCCATTCTATCCATTAAGGAGTGATGCGGGTAGCAGCGGGTTTCCCCCAGCTCTGAAGTGAGAGAAGTCACCCCAAGTGCAGGTATCTTGGACGAACCCAAAGATGCTCCCCTAACGCAGGCTAACCTGACTGCTTTAGTCCCCTCCGGGGTGCAAAAGAAAGGCTTGGGAAGTAAGGCTTAATTTTTATTTTTTATTAAATTGCCTTCTTAGACTGCTGGGAGATCTGTCCTTAAGAGGAAAAGAAATATAGATCGAAACGTTAAGGTGCTATTGAGAGCTATAAAACCAGGCTGTATGGAAAAGTCAAACATAGTAAAGCAAAGGTTTGGCCTGCAGCCCCCCAAAGGGCTGGAAACAAGTCGACACGTTAAGATAACAAGGGAGTACGGAGTTAAATGCTTCCTTGACATCATGGAATGTCAAAACTTTCTCAAGAGGCTGAAAAGAAGTTATAGCTTACAGAATGTGGAACGAGTTTTGCTCTCTTCGCTTGTTTTTTTAATTCCTCGCAATGACAAGTATAGAGATGCCCGCCGATGAAGAAAAAAGAGTTTCCTTGCTTCCACCCTAAAAACACTGTGCTAAGCAAGTGAAAACATCATTTCCAGTACGGACCTTTCAGCTTCATGCTCTGGGTGACACTCTGTGCCCCTAGCTTGCAACACCCCAGCTGCTACAGATGCTCAGATAACCCTGGCCAAATTCTCCCAATTGTGACCCCAGTACCCTAAGTGGCCTCTTCTTCCAAACATGTTGGTTTGGTTTTTTTCTCCTTGATACTCTAACAGAGACATTAAAAAGCAGGAGTCGGTCTCACTAAAAAGACAGAACCATTCTCCGCAGCACATCAGATGCACTGCTTCATGAAATCAGGGGGAAAAGAACACAGACTTTTTCCAGTGGAACTGGGCATTTAGGGAAGACACCCTTGGTGAGACACAGAGCTAAGCCTGATGGTGGGTCGCACAGTTACGTACCCAAGAGCTGAAAACTCACATTCCAAACCCTTCAGAGTTTCAGCTATTGCTTGGGGAGCTAGATTTTCTTTAATGGGATAGTCCTTCTAAATCCTCAAGCCCAGATGGGCTCTATATTACATCTGTACTAAGTACACATAAGGACCTAACTTCTGCCTTGTCTGTAATCACTAAAATAATAAGGTTAATTTGTAGTTTGGCAGAGCACTAAGTACATAAGTCTAAGGCACAAAATTTATGTCTCACGAGCGCCTGTTTAAGAAACTGTCATTGGAATCATCGTTGTGTACAGAATGACTAGTTCTGATTTTAATTTTCACTAAGAATTCCACTGCTCTGAACTCCCATATTATAGCGGAACACAGAACAAGCCGCTATGTTTACAGAGAAACCCTAGATGGCGCCAAGCACACACAGGAGGAACAGTTTTGAGGGAAAGCATCGCTCTCCCCACTTGCAGCAGGCACTGCTCTGCTACCAAATCGGTCAGCTTGCAAACTCACCTCGAAACCAAACCAGGAGCTCGCACCAGACCCAGCGCAGGGCACTATAGCTGACACTCTGAATCTTCAGAGACACAGTCCCTGCCCCCTGCTCTTCCTGCAATAACCCACAGCTGTGCGGATTGCCTGTTACTGGCATTACCTAGAGCACGTTAAGAAAAAGGAGTTAAGTCTGCGGCAACTGACATCCGTGGCATCAACATATTCGCGTTACAAGGGGCATTTCCAGGCACCAATAAGCTGGAATGAGTCCGCCAGCATGTGGTCTCTTTACCTTTATAGAGGATTAATTGAAATTTTATGGACTGCCAAATCTGTCCTGCGGGTGAAAAAGGATGGAACAATGAGGTCTATTTAGTTCTATTGTCATCACTCAAATGAGATACTAACATGGTGCCCTTGTGCCAGCGCACAGAGTGAAGAATGGATCAGCGTCTCTGATGTAAAACTCTGTTGTTGTGGGTTCACAGCCCAGCTACAAAAGTTCACTCAGGGCTGGAAACGGGAACAAGTTCCAGAACAGAAACACAAAGCTGGAAGCCAGATTTCTTTTCTCCCACCTTCACTCTCACTTGATTGCCGCTTCCTCCTTAACCACTTGGAGTATTTTGCAAAAGAAAATATAGGATCTGGGTTGCTCTTTTTTTAGAGCACAAGACTTCATGCCAAACCCATTTTGCTAATTCTTTCAGCAGAGCAGAGAAGGCCATAGGAGCTATTAACTTGATAGAAAAAGTAAAAAGCCCACCACTGATTAAAGCTATCAGCTACTTCCTTCGAGAACTTCAGGAAGCAGTGATGGTGCACGCTCAGGATCTAACTTTCACATGGATTTTATGATATGGAAATACGCACATAATCAATGTGTTGCACATTGGGCAAATGATCTCTCTTCTGTACGTTTTAAACAGAACAGAAGGTCAAGCTCGAAGCTGGCATAAGCTAAACAAGTAGGGATGTTGCAGGTGGTAAGAGAAGCCAGAAATTCAAATTCTGGCTCTGGTCCTCAGACACCAAACCTACAGATACTGCCCATCTGTCTTCCAGACAGGTTTTGGTTTATAGATTTTGGGCCCGGCCTGCCCAAATCATACCTTAATAGTTTTCTAATTCCTTCTGCCTAAAAACTATCAGGATGCTGCTGCTTGAATTTTGTTTCTGAAAACAACAGAAACAAACCACAACAAAACCAAAACAAAAACGTCCTACCCAAACCCAAAAGACGCACACTCTCGCATCTCCTGCCTGTATGCTTTTAAAGCTATCATCACAAAAGACTCTTAATATCACTAAAGCTCAAAGAGTCTAAAATTCTGGCATGATCTGTTTTTTGCAGGTTGACGGCAGCTGGTGACTATCCCGTGTCCTTGAGCAGTACTTGGCTTCCCCTCTTTGCGTGGGCATTTCACACCACAACAAAGGAAGGAAAGGCATCTTGAAAAGCAGGAGAACATAGCTCTTAAACCAAAAGAATTGGCCTAGGGGCAGGTGCAATAACTAAAATTACTTGAAATCTAGTCAATAAAAAAAGAGTTTAAAGTAATTTCTGACTGCATAGCTCTACCGTAACATCATTAGAGGGACCCTCCAATTGAAGTCGAGTTTTTTAACTGACTCTTTCACAAGATATGTTCCTTGAGCAATGTAATGATTAAAAGTGCTTTCAAAAGATAACTCCAAGTCTTGCGTTTGAGGCTTTTACCTTCTGGCTGTCTTTCATTCCATGCAGAATCTCTCCTGCAGATTCTGAGCTTTAGAAGGCGCAGGTCGGCACGCACACCTCTAAAGGAAGCAGGTTTCTATATAGCGGTTCGGTCACAGAGAAAGAACAGTGCTGCAATGCAACTACACCTACTGTGAACAGTACGCATCCTCACTTCGCTTGTGATGGATTCCGGGCCTGGAGTTTGTCACAGGCGTCGAAGGCTCCTTTTTTCCACACGACGCCAACCGAACAATTATGTTCTCAGATAATAGAACAAGATTAATGGAAAACCAATTTGCCTGAAGATCACATGCACATTCATCAAAACCAATACCCAAAACCCCCAGCCAAAAACAACTAATAATCCAACAATAATATTAAGCCTAGTTGTGAAATCTGGTGCGGAAGTGACTACAGGGCAGTGCAGGATGGAAACTTGAGAGCTGCCCAAGCAGGGCCAAAGCTCTTGTCCTATCCTCTCAGAGCACTGAGTGAGAGAAAGAGAAACCTGAACTTAACGGTTGTGAGGACACCTCCTTTGATTAAATATGTCCTAGTTCTTTCTCTTTGGCTTCGCACTGCAGTCCTGCAGCTGCCATATGCAAGATCACTTTTCTTGGACCAGAAACAGGGACAATTTTCAACAAAACCTAGCAGTTCCTGGTCTCATCACACCACACTATCTTAACAGGATCTCAACAATTTGTCTGGTGGGTTATATCTGTGAGATCCTAGTAAGGTGTTTCCCATGTGCTGCAGAAGAGCCAGCAGCTCTCCAGGGAAAAATTGAGGACTGAAAGGTTTCACAGCCACAGTTGACAGTTGTAATTCACAAAAAAACCAGTATCTGGCATTGAAACACACGATCAGAAAATGCATGGTGAACCCGCAAACCAAATCAGCAAAGATTTCCTTAGAGGCCTCCCGTGTAGGTGCGGGAGAAACTCTCAGGGAAGTTCCGCTCATTACAGACAAAAAGCTCTCTCCTGCAGGTGCTGGCAGTGGGGCCGGCACAATGTGCTGAAGGAGCAACAACAACATAACCGATTACTCTAACTGATGCAGCGACACACTATGGACGAGGGGAAACCTGTGGGAGACCGAAACCTGCAGACGAGGAGTGTAAGTCAGAGCACAGAGATCTGGAAAGAAGCTACCTTGAAATACTGTGGTGCTACCCATTTCCATCGTAGGGCTGACCGGGCAAGCCAGGTGCAACGAAGAAGCCAGAAAAAGCTGTTTCACTCCTCCCTCCTCACTACTAAGGAACATGTCATGTAAGGGTTTCCTGGAAATGCCCTTTTCTGCCATCAATAACCCTATAAAACGAGCTGCTGCTGCCTACGGCGAGACAAAGACAACACCTAACTGGTTAAACACTTTGCATAAAAGCGTAATAAAACTTAGAACCACTTCCAATTTATTGCTTTGGCACTTGAAATGTGAAGGTATCGTAGCAGGAGAGAAGAGATTAGTGAACAGTGTGTTTATAGGACTGCTGCCACCCAATGTCAAGTGAAAGGATAAATATAATCAGAAAGACCACAGAGATGGGATTTCAACCAAAGGCCTTCTAGGTTTAGAACAATAAATATCTTGAATCAGATATGCTTAAAGGAGCAAATAGCACTCTGCTGGGATTATACCTCCCCCTTTCTATTTTTTTATTATACCTCCTCTTTTTTGAGTGAGGAAAGTGCTTATTTCAGAACAACGTAAAGTACATTAGACTAGATATTACAAAAACCGCTCATCTTGCAAAGAGTTTCTCCATAGGAGCAGCACGTCGGAGATCCCAGGTCTCCATCCTCCACAAGTAGGGTATCTATGCCTCTAGTCCCCAAAGCCTCTCTTGTGGACAGGAATACCTGCAGTAACACATGATGGAGATCACTTGTTGGACTAAATCCTAAGATACCAGAGCCACACAATTACTGATGGCACTTGATCTCTGAGCAGGGCTATCCTGCAACAGTCGTCCTTGCGTCTACAGAATCTGAAGTAAGGAACTGCAAAGAAACCTAAGGCAAGTCTGGCACCCAGCTCTCAGTTTTCTGGGAGACAGGAATCGATGCAGATCACCGAAACTTTCAGGCAGCACTCAGTTTTACCTATGCATGGCATGACAGTTGTCATACAAAGGTTTTGGGATGCAGGGGGTTTGGGAATCATTTCCCACCGAAGGGCAGGTTTGGGTTGCAGCATTTCTGTTGAACCCTTGTACAAAAGCAGAAAAACAGAACCTGGGAATGCGGCACCAAGATTGTGTCAGTCTCTTTTCGCTAAGACACCGTTCTTCTAGGATGTTACATACATGGCCCCCTCCCAAATCCCCCTTAATGAAAAACGACTCTCAATTTTAATAAAGCTACCTGTACATGTCAGTCTGTAATCACAGAGAGATCTAAGCATCACCACCAAAGACGTCCAGATGCAGCATTTACCATGCACAGATTATGCTTTAAAAAACCTCATTTTTCACTGCCTTTGCTTGCTAGTACTGTCACCGAGGTCTCAAAGAGAGTATCTGCAGATAATCTAAAGGCTGGCCGAATCGAGTTCTTGCTCCATCACATGCAAATCATGCCTTGGCTTAAACAGAATCCACACACAGAAAACATCTGATAAAAGGGAGACTCCAGAGAGGATCTGTTCCTTACCCCAGTTCCCCGGTATGGAGTCCAGATATTCTATGTCAGAAACGCTCCACACAGACTTGGAATAACCCGTAATTAAAATATGGGATTCAAAGCTAACATTACATCCTGAAACACAAGGCTGCTGCTGTGGGAAGAATTACTTCCCTAACCCTTTCCTCATCCTCCGTACACCTGGCTCCCCAGGTTCAGTATCACTGGGCTGCCACCCAGCCTGAGCCCCAGCCTCAGGGCCCCGCATAGATGCACAACTGCGTATTGGTGGACCTGCAGCCATTCGCCTCGCACTGTTTCACCCAGAGCAGAGCTGACCAGGTAGCGATCCAGCCCTCCCAGCAAACCCCTGGGGCAAAAAGGGGTGTCCTGGACCCCGCCTCATCCTCCATGCCTCGGGACTCACCTGCAGGCAGCGGGCGGAAGCCTCGGACCGTGTTCCCCTGCCGCAGGGGCAGCCCCAGTGGG